GGCACTGATAACTCAAAGAATTCATTTGCAGGGGACCCAGAGAAGGTACTGAGTAGCAAAACTTAAGGGGGCGGTGTTGTAGGGTGGCTGGCTTGAGTGAAACATTGTCAAGTTGCATAAGGGCAGGTGTGATCTGCTCATCTCAGTAACATTGAGAAATAGGTTATTAGTGTGCCCACAATGGAGAGGGGCTTAGTATACACACAGTGGGGCTGGCAGAAGAGGTATGTGGGAAGATGAAGAAAATTGGGAAGAGGATTGAGATTAGGATATTGAACTTGAATTTAAAATCAAAACATGGGGACATTGGCAGAATGCTGTTGCCTTCATTTTCCTTTGGCTCCTAAGTTTTATTATTAAGAGCCAGGAGAAAAACCATTGCTCAGGATCTTCATAAAATCCTCACAGTGCATTTTTCCCACTACTTGAAATCCAGGTAACTACAAATGTGAAGTATATGTTTTTCTTATTGGTTATTCTGCTCCCTTGTGTTCACATCTGGGTCCCTAATTTCTCATCTTTTATTCTGTACCATTATTTTTTCTTCTCAGTTGAAGGGCACACAGCAGACCTTACATGTATCTTGGAAATTGTTCTCAACTTATTTTTGTATCACTCATAGAAAGTGAAGATCACATTCACCTTTTACCTTTGCTAGGCCCTTGGGTCTGTTTAAGTATATGTAGTATCATAGCTGCCAAATGACAATTATACACCCTGAGAACTCATAAATTCCTGACCTCAGGTGGGAAAGCACTGCCATTTCTTTGAATGCTGAGTACAACTTCAGGAATATCCGCACTCAAGTCCCATACATTTCTCCATCTTCCATTCTTACTACATTCTCCTGGCCTTCTGCCCCAAATATCCACACATCATAGGAGGTCCAAAGCAGTGAATTAATTTTCTTTTCTGAGGACCATCCAGGCTTTTGCTATGACCCTTTCCAGTGCTTTGTGACCTTGCTTTGTGATCATCTTACTTCTAAGAGTTCTCCAGACATTATAAATTAAAGAACGCAAATTGGAAATCGACATTCAAGCCCATCAGTTTCTGTTCCATTTATTAGCTTCCCTAGTAAATTTTTTTGGGGGAAGAGATAAGAGTTTAAAAAAATCCCAGCTCACACCATTACTATGGCAACCCAATTTAACTCTTCTAGAAGGAACTTACGGGTACACAGGGACTTACTTAAACAGTAGCCAACAGGAAACTTCATGGACAGTAGAGCTAGGAAAAGTTTTACTAAAGGCTATGATTCCTCACAGGGTAGTTCCCTCAAGGCACACTAACAAGGATCAAATGCTTGTATGGAAACTTACTTTGAGTTTTGCAATGTGAATTATATGAAATCCAAAGAGTCTATTTCCTTTAAAAAATTATTAAGGTTTCCAATGTACCCTTTCCCCCTACCATTCAACCTAGACAACCCAGATCAGATTTTTGTGACATAAAATAAATGTCTCGGGAGCAAGCTGCAAACTAATATGAGAAATAGAATAGATCTTCCAAATATGCCTGGCACGGTTTTCACAGGCTAACCACTGCTTTTTAGTGTACCTGCTTTGCTTCCACATTTCTTTGGATTAAAAACATTCCTTTTATTAAGTCTGACAAGATAGTAACAAGCCAGAAAGTTCATTCTCAGCAGATAGCAGATGATTTCCAAATGAGACATGGACAGGTTTTTATGATTATAGATTTCAGAGATCCTGGTCTCTCAAAAGTGCACACAGGGATTGGTAGATATATAAAAAGACAGAAATAATGGAAGAAAGATATATAAATTGGATTTTTAATAAGAACAAATGATAAAAGCCATTGACAGCTCTCCTACTATCCCAGCACTCTGCTTTTTGTCAGCTTTTTAAATATTTGTAAGAAATAGTTAGCAAAGAGGCTGAGAGGTAAGTAGGATAGCTGGGTGGCTGGAAATGAATGTCTCCTTCAGTATTTTTTATCCTTCAGAAATGTCTGTCAGAAATGCTATTTCCATAGAAGCACTTACACTGTGTAGAGGACCTTTATTACTTTTTAAGGCTTCTGACAGTTTTCAGCCCACCAACAAGGCTTAACTTTGCATTTTGAATAATGCAGAGATTTTCATGAGTTCAAATAGGAATCAAAATAATAAATGGTACTTTGCCAAAGTACCGTGACAGTACATTATATTTGCAGTTACCTTTCAGAATAAGCTTTACAGACGTATACTCAGTCAAATTGAAAAGCTACCAGTATTGTTTCCTCATGCTGTGTGTAAATTTCGCGAAAAAGTTCAACGGACACATCTTTCTAACTGTGGGTTTGGTTAATGTCATATTCAAAGGGCAGTGCATTATTGCACCTAAAAGCTAAGCATTGGCACAAACTGTCCTGGTCTATGAGATCATTGCAATTGGCTGTAGACATTACGTTTTTGTTCACATCTGTCTTCTGAAGTCCCAGAGACAATTTAATTACCTCTGCACTTTTGATTCTTGCTTCTTTCAATAAAAATGTAAAATTGCCCTCCATTGAGAATTATCCCACTAAAAGGCTTGTGATTACTTTTCATCAGCATCTCTCTTCCATCAGGTTATCAAGTTAAGCTGGGCATATTTACTTTGTTTTGAGTACCCAAGGCTCTGTTTGACTCTAAGTATTATTAGAATTGATGTCAATACAGCTACTATATCTAGATATCTCTCAGTAGCATAATGTATGGCACTAATAACAAACACTAAAATTACACCATTAATAGAATAAGCTGCAAGCAGCTGCTTCATTCCTAGTTTGATAGGCATTAAAATAGCTGATTCAGAGACTTCTGTAGAGAGCCTTAACTTAATTAAAGGCATTAAAGTCCATGGGAATACAAAATCTTTGAGTTCAGTACAATCTATAAAAACTGCTCTAAAAGAAGATAAAAAATATTTGCCTGTTTTAGATGAATCTCTCATTTTGCATATCATTTTATGTTTCTTGGCGTTACTTAACATCCAAAGTCTCCCAAAAGATGAGAGGAAGAGTGGGAGAATAAAGTTGTAATGTTCAATGTATATGTGAAAATGGAACCAGGTAACTTGATGGAATTGGTGGGGTAAGGTCAGGGAGAATGATGGAGGGGTGACTTTGATCAAGATGCATTGTAGTTGTAAACGACATGTTAAATTAAAACCTCTTTTTACACTTGCTTAAAGATAATTTTTTAAAAATCTTAAGGAAAAAACTACACTTATTTATTTTAGTAGATATAAGGAGACTACAAGTACTCTGGTTCTTTTTCCACAATAAGCTGACTGAATATTGGCATTTTTTAATGCCAATTCACAGAGGAGAATATCAGATTTTTTCCCCTTACAGGGGTTTTGTGTGTGTGTGTGTGTGTGTGTGTGTGTGTGTGTGTGTGTGTGTGTGTGTGTGTGTGTGTGTGTGTGGTAAGAGATAACTACTGAGAAATATGAGGTTCAGATAAGCTATCAATGCATAAATTTCTTAAAATCCTCATTTAGCCCCAATTTCCACTAAGTTCTCTAAAGTTGAGTTCTTGGTAAATTCACTCATATTCAACCAGTTGCTTCTGGCTATGCATCTGTCTTGGCTGTTGAAGCATGCTGCTGACTTCCAATACACTAACTTTGTCAGATCATGGAACTCATTAGGGAACTTGTGGAAATATCATTTTAGAAGTTAACTTCAAAGTGCATTGTGTTGGCATTACAACTGTACTTTGTTTTTCTTGAATGCTAGTCCTGGATCTTGAATGCAGGGCCTGAGTGCTGTCCTTGAGCTTTATTGCTCAAGGTTAGAGCTCTATCACTTGAACCACAGTACCACATCTAGCTTATTATTATTATTATTATTAAGGGTGGTTAATTGGAGATAAGAGTCTCCCAGACTTTCTTGCCTGGGGTAGCTTCATGCCATGATCCTCAGATCTCAGTCTCTTTCAGGCATGAGCCACTGGTGTCCTGCCTACAATTGTACTTTTGAAATGTTAAAAACTCTAGTTCAAGTATTATTAAGAAAACATAGCGTTTTATGTTTTATGCTTGCATGTTTTAATTGCCAGATACATTATATTTCATGTCTGTTATTTCCTAAATTTGGACAAGTAAATAGAGGCAAAATTTCATTGTTAACTGGATTCCACTTCCTCCGTCATACTATGCCTGTTTCATGGGGAACATTCATCAGATCTTTTTGTAATCATGTTCTAAAAGGAAGTTAAAATGACTAGGTATATCATCTCATTTATGTCAAAGGGTCCAGTTTGGACAATTCAAGCAACAATTTACATGATAAAACCAAATCTCTAAAACTTTTTTGGATAGGTATGTTTTATCTAACTGTAGGAGAATAGTTCAAAAATCTGTAGGAGAATAATTTGAAAGTGTCTATACATTAGGCAAATGTTTAACAAAAGTCCTTAATTGAATTTGTGGTTAAATCTTTATCATATTCTTTAGGTTATAATATGTATTTCATTTTTGGGGTATTAAAATATGGCTTATCTCCTAGACATTGCACAATTCATTTTAATATATCTTGTGTTTTTGCTTTTCATCTTGAAAATCATATTTTTAAAAACTTTTTTCTAGCTTTTTATGTAGCTTTCATGTAGGTCTTGCTATATATAATACATTGTATTGCTGTTACTGCTATTAGATGGACTTCAAAACTCTGCAACTGGATAAGCTGCTTAGGCCTCTGCTGAAGAGTTACCGAAGCATGACATGACAGCAATCCTCAGGCTTGCAAGTCTGTGATGCTCCCGTACAACACAGGACAGGAGTATCAGTATTTCGTGTGTCCTTATTTTTGTGCAATCTAATTTGTCAGTGACTGATTGTGTCCTTATTTTTGTGCAATCTAATATGTCAGTGACTGATTGCAGTGTTACTGTGCTGGGATCAATCATTTCAGATTCAAAACAGGAAAGATTTCACAGCTCTGTAATGATTAGCTTTGGGAGCAGCAGGTCAGACAAACGAACCTTCAAATTGCTGAACAATACTTACAGGTATCTTCTTCTTCCATGGAAATACTGATCACATAACAGGCAAACACAAACCCAACCAACTGCAAGAAAAAAATACATGCAGTAAGAATATATGCCATGGTTCAAGTGGAAAAGCACCATCCTAACAAGTGTGAGGCTCAGAGTTCAAACCCCAGTAATGCCTGCCACCCTCCCCCTTTCCCCCTCCCCGGCAAAGGATCCATAATCCAATCATGTCCTTGCCCTTCTGAGACAGTGCATGGTAGTAGCAGCTACAGGCACTGGGTTAGCAGTACCTGCTGTGGTTGAAATCATGCTCTACCAAAATACAAAACAAAACAAAACAGAAAAACAAAAATATATGCCAAACATCCATAAATATGTAATCCAATAGATATATAGGAAGAATATGTATTAGTAATATGTAAGTTTATAACAAAAATCTTATCTTAAAATAATATCTATGATTATTAAAGAGCCTTTACCTTTCTATGTCACTTGACAAGATGTGAAATATTCTAGATAGTTCCTTTAGACTTTGATTCAGTATTAATAAATCAGCACAGATAAGTCAACACATTTTTTAGGTTTTGACTATTTACAGAACAATTTGTACTACATGAGTCATTACCACAACTATTTTAATGTTTACTAGCTACAAAAAAATAGAAATGCGTTGCTTAGAAATTAAATAGTGATTATCTACTGAATTATTGAAAATAACTCTGAATGTAAAAATTCTTTTTACTACTCAATTGGTTTGTTAATTACATCATATGAAAATGTATTAATTTTGTGATGATTAGTCATTGGTGAAGTGAAGGAGAGAGACAATTTATATTTTGGATATAAACAGTTCAAAAAATAAATGCAAACACAGGGTACAGACAAAGCTTTTCATATTATACTGAGGTGGTGATTTCTATTCCACAGAGTCAAGCATGTTATAATTCCTGGAGGACCAAATGGACAATGAATCTAGTCTAGTCTAAAATTGTTGTTGATAGATATGAGAAATAGCCACCTGGATAGCTATTGTGGTCTGTCTTCATAGCCTTATCTCATTGGTAAAGTCTGTTTCTCCCCCCACCCAGCCTCAATATAAATTAATGTTGTAAAGAAAACTTCTCTTTTTTCTTTATTACTATTATTATTATTTTTAAGAATTTGTACAATCTTTTTCAATTCATATCAGCTTATGAGTACAATGCATCTTAAAAAAAAATTGGTCCTGGGACTTGAACTCTGGGCCTGGGTGCTGTCCCGAAGCTTTTGTGCTCAAAGATAGTGCTCTACCATTTGAGCCACAGGCTCCACTTCTGACTTTTTTTTTTTTGTAGTTTAGTGGAGAGAACAGTCTCACAGGCTTTCCTCCCAGGGCTGGCTTCGACCTGTGAGCTTCCCATTTCAGCTTTCTGAGTAGTTAGGATAACAGGCATGAGCCACTAGTGCATGACTCTTTTTGTAATTTTTCCCTTTTCTTTTGAAAATCATTATCTTTAAGTAGTTGTACAAAGCAATTGCTCTTTAACAAAGCGGTTCATGTGAACAGTGCATCTTGATCCACGTCACCACTTTCATAGTTCTCACCCATCTCTCCTAATGCCATCCATCCCCTCAAGTTGCCTGGTTTTATTTTCACATATGTACATCAAAGATTATGATTGTTTTTGCCCACCCTTTCTCTCTCTCTCCATCCCCCCTACTCCACCTATGACCCCCACCCCAACTTCTGAAACAACACATATTGCAGCTTCCTGTTATTCACTCTGTTAAACTGTAAGTTAGTTGTTCATAACTCCCATACTTCTCCCCAGGGTATGCCAGGACTCATGAGCTATAAATAGTCCAGTGTCAAAGAACAGTTCCCAATACAGAGAACAACATATTCCGAGGGTTCCAATGGCACATATGGATTATGACCTGAGCTTCTAATCCTTACCAAAAGTATATGAAAGACCATGAGGCTCCTAGAGGCTGAGAGATTAGGAAGTGAGGTCATACGGATTGACAGAGGGATCTAGCTGTGTGCTGAACAGCCCTTCTATCTGTTGGATACCTCCCATCTCAATCCAAGTGAGGTGCTGCTTCAAAGAAGAAGTTGGGGAGGAACTTGATGTTATACTTTGGGGGGGAAAATGGGGACTTGGCATCATCTTGGAAAAGTCACACTGCAAGGGGCTGTGGCTAGTGGACTCTTGGCTGAGAGTTTGAAGAGGCAGGGCCAAGTGGGCATAGCAGCTCAGGGATGCACATGAGGGCTCTGAGTAAAGTCTTTCGAATGAGCTCCCTGTGGTGCTCTGAATTTGGACTCCACCTTAGAGGACTTCCCACCAGATGTCGAACTTCAGAAGAAGGATGTTGGTACTTTAGGTACAAAAAGTGAGTGGAACAAAAGATGTTAAATGACAAGTCAGGGGACTGAAAATGGAGAGAAATAGATGAGACTCCTTTATGTGGCAAAAAGTGTGTGTGTGGGGGGGTTCTAAAGAACTCATAAAATCACACCTATGAGGATATCAGCCTGTGGGAACAGTCATACCCAGAGAGTATGCCCTCCCTGATGATCTATCAACCCAGTCCTCTTAAACCTTCTTCCACTCATTTCTTATCTGATGATTCTTCCTTTTATTTCATCTTAGGAGAAAGTAGCTCTGTTCCCTCTTTCTTATTGAAGTTCTGCATCTTGAAATCAGGCTCAGCCGAGGAGCAGTTTTTAATGGGTTAGAGTTTACATTGACCAGGATGGGGCAATTTATTATCTATGAGGGGCCAAATGAGAAACAAATTCAGCCTGAAATGTGATCCAAAAGCAGAGATAGAACAAAGTCATAGAGTGTGCCTGAAGGGACAGTGGGAGAAGGCATAACATTGCCTTCAGATTGATTTCTACCAAACCTGGCCTACTAAACTGGCAGCAGACAGAAGAAATGCCTTCAGATCCCACCACCATAACTTTTTGAACAGTTTCCTCCCAATCTTTCAAATAGTTGCCATATATCAGACACTATTATGATCCATAAGCTTAATTGTTAAATACATAAAGTTGGGTCATTTAAATATACTACAATGTATTTAAGAAATAGCCTATTATTAAGTCATTTTCCAATTTTAAGTAATATGGTGCCAGATATTAATCCTTTCCCTATACTTTTAATGATCTTATTCCCAGATATAGAAAGATCATTGTAAAAAGTACCATTAACTATTTCTGATTTATTTTTACATATTATTGAACTGATTTTCAAAAGACGTTTATACCATTTTCCCCTATGGCAAGAACATTCAAAATCCTGCCATGTAGCTGTTTTGAAATATTTGGTACAATAAAAATACACAATTATATGTCAGTTAAAAACCAACAAAAAATAAGTTCATAGTACATCTTATTCTACCATCATAGTAACAATGCTTATTTTGGCCAGACCCTTAGTAGCAGAGGAACTTGCCATTTAAATATATGTCAATAAATCAAAATTATATCTCTTTATTCATTAATTTATTTTCCAATTTTATTTTATTTGAAACATTTTCATGCTGTGTGTGTGTGGGGGGGGTGGGTGTCCAGGGCTGGGCACTGTCCTTGAGTTTCTTCTTTTTTTTCTCAAGACTAGTGTTTTACCACTTGAGCCTCAATGCCACTTCTGGCTTTTTCTGAGTGGTTTATTGGAGATAAAAGTCTCACGGATTTTCTTGCTTGGGCTGGCTTCCACCCATGATCTTCAGATCTCAGTATCCTGAGTAGTTAGGACTATAGGTGTGAGTCACTAGCACCTGACCTATTTTCATGTTTTATCAGTCACTTTTTTTCTTTTTGGTGGTACTGGTGGTTGGAGTTCTGGCCTTCAGGCTTGCTAGGCAGACACATTCTACTATTTGGCCATGACATTTCAGCACTTTTTCTTCTGTACTGGGTACTTTTGAGATAGGATCTTGTTTCCTGCCCAGCTGCATGCTTGGGTCAAAAAGCTGCCCAATTTTGACTTCCTTTCCTAGTTAGTGGGACAGGTACATGCTACCACATCCAGCCTTTTCCCCTTGAGATGGAGTCTTGTGGACTTTCTTGCTTGTACTGTTCTGGAGCTGTAGCTGGAATCTTCTTGATCTCAGCTTCTCAAGTAGCTAGGATTTCATTCATGAAGCACTGGTATCTGGCTTATTAGCGACTTGTAGGTGAATTATATCAGGGTTCTTCAACCAGTTGTTAATTTAGTGTTTTTTAAAATAATTTATGTGAGATCTTACAGGGTAAGACTTTTTTGTTGCTATATTAACTGCAATTTTTAAAAGATAAGTGTTTGTGATGGTTTAACAAAATTGAGACATCATATATACGAAATATACTAACTCATATTGTGAGGCACTTTCCTTAGGGGTGTGCCACAAGTGTGTATATGTTTAAATCAAGAATTCTATTACACTGGTTTCACACTGATGTTGGAAGAAATTGGCACAAACTTCTTGATTTAAAACAACACAAATTTACTATCTCAAAGTACTTAGACCCAAAGTCTGAAATGAGCTTCAGGAGGGTAAAGTGAAGGATGCCAACGAAACTAGAGTCCTGGGAGATTGAGCAAAATTGGTTTCCTTTCTTTCTCTAGCTTCTATACATGTCTTCATTCTTTGGCTTATACATTATGACTTCATATTCATAGGTAGCAACAGTGGGCTGCTGTTTCTTAGTCTGCTATCTATGTGTCTTTCTTTCTTTTGTCCTCTTGTTCTACTTTTAATGGTGCTAGGAATTATGTTGCATCATCTGAACAACCCTAAATAACAGCTTCATATTTAAAACCATATGATTATTGTTCTTCTCATTGTATTTTCCATGCATAATTTAACAATCTCTTATCTTGTCAGAGAATATGAATATGAATGCATCAAATCCATCAATAGCGTAATTGTTTCTGGTTCAATTTGTTTTAGTCTGTGTCTCTCAAATTATTGAGTCATATGTTCTTGATAATCTAAACTATCATCAAAGGAGAGTAACACATGTATATCCAGAATTCACTAAAAAGAACAAAACCAGACATGCGTATTCATTTCATCAAGATCTATAAGGCTCATATTATGA